TTTGTGGCACAGTGGTTAAATGACAATACTGAAGCCACTCACAGACCATAAGGTTGTGAGTTCAATACCAGACAGAGGTTCAGGGTTGACTAGGGGATCATGGGAATTGTATTTTTTTTTTTCTGGGACATTGAGCCTTCTCTGTCAGAGAGCTCTGGTGCCACAATAAACTACAGTTCCCATGATTCCCTAGCACTGAGTCAGGATAGTTAAAGTGGACTCAATTTGCACTATTTCTGGCAGTCTGCACAGGCCCACAGTTTTTCAGGGGGGATCCAGATGGTGAAAAGCGCCATCTTCAATCCCAGGAAGGGGAGGGGATATATTTGAGTATACCAAAGGAGAAATTTAAAGATATAAACTATAAAGTGATACATTATATGATTATAGCAGCAAGACTGTTGTGTACCCAAATCTGGAAAACTGATTATCTTCCTACAGAAGAGAACTGGACTGTTAAATTTTTGAGCTGTCTGAAATGTGTTTCATTTTTTTGAAACTTAATAAAAAAAGATTTGGGAAAACAGAGGAATACACATAATAATGTGCTTTAGATTATCATTGAAATGATCTCTAAAATTTTACAGAATTAGATATTCCAGAAATATTTATGATGGATTGTAGTTTTGCAAGGATAGAGATAGCATGGTGAAGTGGTTTGATTGTTGGACTCAAGTGTTGGACTCTGGAGATCAGGGTTCGATTCTCCATTCAAGAATAAATACCCATTGGGTGACCTTAGGCAAGTCACATGCTCTCACCCTCAGAGGATGGCAATGGCAAACCCTCTCTGAAAAAATTTGACAAGAAAGCCCTATGATAGGTTCATTTTAGAGTCTCAATAAGTAAAAAATGAATTGGAGGCACATAACAACAACAAAGGATTGAAATGGCAACCTTGTTTCAGTTTATTAGTTGCCAGTGGTGGTAGAGCAAATGGAAGAGATGTGCAGGTAGAAAAGGAAGTAGATGAAATAGTGCAGGACTGGGTGATATTTTAAGGCCTCATATCCACACCTTCTGTTTGTAAAACTGACATATTGTCCTTGACATCAATTGAAGAATGTGAATTAACCCTCTCTGTGAATCTAGATTTCCTTCCCAAGAGATGTCTTATAGGAAACTATGAAATAAGTCCCAGTGACTGTCCCACCAGGTGTTTTACTGTATTTCTACAAACATCTGAAGAAATCATGTTGATTCATGCAATAACCATGAATATCAAAGAAAGCAATCTTGCTGTGTGCTGCTTTATAGCTTCTGGCTGCCCAGGGAGGGATGTAAAACTAGCATGATGCTATATATTCAGGCAATATTGGTTGAATTTTGTCTCTGTACTTTGTGAAGCCACTGGGCCTTTTCTTATGATGTTTTAAACATCTTTTGCCTGATGAAGGAGCTAGTGGATTTTTAAATGTTTGTATGATGTATTTTGTGCATTTCTGTTGACCAATAAAAGTATTGCTCTGTTGTAAATGTTAGATTTTGTTGTATTCTGCTGCATGGTCAACACAGCTACCTCGGAATATATTTCCTGGATTTGTTGATACTAAATTTAGCCATAACAGGGGAATCTTAGACAAGGAGGATCTAAAGACTGGGGCTTTACTCTGAGGTTTCTATCTGTAACAAAGGTAAACCTATGGGGGCTATAATTGGCTAGTTTTACCTATACAGCACCTAAATCCCCCCTCCCCGATGTATTAGTACAAAGACTTCTTGAGAAATTCATTGTTCTCTGGCCAAGAAAGGTGTCTGTGGTTTCACAAACAAGATAGAATCCCAAAAGAATTCAATTTATTGCTGCTAATAGAGGTTACATTTTACTGTCCTTTGTCTCAGTCTCCACTGATCAAAAATTGGATTGGCCTCTGCTTCCATTGAGATCCTTCCAGAACAACTGAACTACAACAGAAACATCATCTGATACAAAATGTAGGCCTGTGACTTAAAATCATCACTTTTCTTCTTCTGTATGATTTTTAACACATTTCGCCTGATGAAAAGGCCTGTGGAATATTGAAAGCTTGCATGATGGATTTTGAGCATTTCTATTGGCCAGTAAAGGCATTGCTGTTTTGTGGATTTATATGCCCAATGGAGCATAGCAGGGAGCTCTAAAAGAAAATCAACATGTGCTTTATAGACTATAGCAAAGCCTTTGACTGCATAGAACATGAAAGGCTACGGAATGCCCTTAAAGACATGGGGGCGCCAACACATCTGATAGTCCTAGTGAGGAATCTGTACTCAAGACAAGAGGCTACTGTCAGGACAGAACACAGAGAAACAGAATTGTTTCCAATTGGCAAAGTCTGTATCCTATCACCCCACCTATTCAACTTATATGCAGAACATATTGTAAGGAAAGCAAGCTTGCACAAGGAAGAGGAGAAGTGAAAATGGGAGGAAGAAATATCAACAATCTGAGATATGCTGACAACATCATAAGACTAGCAGAGAACCTCACAGACCTAAAACAACTACTAAGGAAGATCAAAGAAGAAAGTGCAAAGGCAGGGTTACTGTTGAAAATAAAGAAAGTAAATATAATGACCAAAGAGAATTTACACACATTCAAACTAGACAATGAGGAAATAGAAATAGTAAAAGAGTTCTCATAGCTGGGATCAAACTGTAAGAGGAACTTGAACTTGGGGAATTGCTAAATCTTCACGTATCCAATGGGATCTTTTATCCTATGTTTATGGAGATGACTGGGGAGTAGACTGATAGAGATAAAACTTTCTCAATGAACTTTGTGATTTATTTGGGTATTCCAACATACAAAGACACTCAAACATACACTCATGCACACAAGAACTGACTAATAACGTAGTTGGCTTGGATAGGGAACAAAGGATTTCTAAGGGTGATAATTACCTGATGGAGGTTGATCTAACAATGAATGAAGATGGATAAACTTAACCGTGTATGAAAGGAAAAGGAGGACTGGAAGAGCCGGGATTTGAGTCAGAATTCGCAGTGATGCAGTGTCAGCATAAAATCCAGCCAGTCCCAATGTGACTGAGATTTGGGGGACCCTTTATACATTAAACCTAGTCTGAGGTGAAGATTTGTTACTGTGTATCAAAGGATCACAGATAGATGGTCTTTGAAGTAGACAATTTTCAAAGAGGGGAGATGGGGTGTTGATGTTATCTCATTCTTAGTCAGACACATCCTGCTTCTTAAACATAAATCTCCTAGGTGTGAATGTTCTGTTTTGCAGCTTCTAACCCTAGCCTTTTGATCTGTTAATGAACTGTTGAGGGAGACATGACCACTCAGGTATCTACATGAGGTTATCACCTTGAATCCATGGTGGCTTGGACTTTCTGGTTTAGGGCCATGACAGAAAACCCACAAAGGATTTTTTTATATTAAAACAATGCTTGTAAGAAAGCATTGATTGGAATGGGGACTGCAGCCAGGAAATCAGAAGAAGATTAAGAATGAGGAGGGCAGCTATGAAAGAACTAGAAAAGATAGTAAAATGCAAAGACATATAACTCAACACAAAAGACAGAATCATACAAGCCATTGTATTCTCTATTACTATATATGGATGTGAGAGCTGGACAGTCAAGAAAGAAGATAGGAGGAAAATCAACTCATTTGAGATGTGGTACTGGAGAAGAGTGCTGAGGATTCCATGGACAGCCAAAAAGACAAACAAATGGGTCCTAGAGCAGATCAAGCCAGAAATATATCTAGAAGCCAAGATGACAAGACTTAGGCCTTGTATAGGCCGGCCAAAAGGGCTGGCCTTGGGGTGGAGATGGGGCATAGCAACTGCACGCCGGCTGCTCTAACTTTGCCCCGATGCTTTCATCACACCATGCACCCCACCACATGGCAGGTGGCATCTGGGCACTCCCTTGGCACAGCGTTTAGACACACTGCACCAAAGGAGTGTGGAAAAGCCACCACTGTGGCACCAAGGGTGACTTTTTGCCACTCTAAAAAGGAGCAGCATTTGCCAGCTCTTTTTAGAGAGGCAGGGCCTTTGCAGATTGCCAGAAATAGTGCACATTAAATTGAGGCACTGCCCTGTCTCAGTGCTAGGGAATCATGGGAACTGTAATTTTTTGTGGCACCAGAGCTCTCTGACAGAGAAGGCTCAATGTCTCAGAAAAAAAATACAGTTCCCATGATTCCCTAGCACTGAGACAGGGCAGTGCCTCAATTTAATGTGCATTATTTCTGGCAGTCTGCAAAGGCCCGCAAAGTGCCAGATCACAGTCATGGTGTGCAGTTGCTGTGGCTCCAATCTATCAAGGAAAGGGGCAGCGGGACTCCACCCCTTAGGGGCTGTAATGTTTAGTCCCTTAGACTATCATACTTTGGACACATCATAAAAAGGCATGCATTTCTGGAAAAGACATTAATTAGGAAAGGTGGAGGGAAGTAAAAAAAGAGGAAGGCCACATACTAGATGGATGGACTTTATTAAAGAGACCACAAATATGAGTTTGCAGGAGCTGGGCAGTACAGTAAAGGACAGGGGGCCCAGGAGATGTCTCATCCATAGGGTTGCCATGGGTCGAGATGAACACAAAGGCAGTTAACAACAACAACAATATGCCTCCAAGTCAACACTTATGGAAATCCTATATGCTGATAAATATATTGTAGAGAAGTATTTCTTCAGAGAAAGTTTGCTACTGATTTTCTCTAAGGCTGAAAAAGAGCAATTTGCCCAAAGTTACCCTTTAGGTTTACATGCTCGAGATACTATGTCATACCAGCTCTCTGTTGTGTGAATGCAAACTTTAAAAAGTGAAAACAACTGTCTAGAATCCACCTCTTGAAATGCCACCATTGTCTAGCCTGATCCAGAAGTGAGGCAATGCATTTTAGCGCTCCTTTCAGGGGCGGCGAAAGTGTGCCACTGGATCAAGGCATGGGGATTCCTCGATCCAGCGGCGCACCTTCCCAGGGCGGCCCCATGCCGTCAGTCTGCTTCCCCCCTATGTTTTATTTTATTTGTGCTGGGAGCCAGTGTTGCACAGTGGTTTGGGTGTTGGACTGCAGCTCTGAAGGCCAGGATTCAATTCCCAGTTTGTCTCTGAAACCCACTGTGTGATCCGGAATGGGTCACACTCTCAGCCTCAGAGTAAGACAATGGCAAACCCCCTCCAAACACATCTGGCCAAGAAAAACCATGAGAAAGTTTCTCAGGGGGGATGCAAATGGCGAAAAGCGTCATCTTCAATCCTAGGAAGGGGAGGGGCAGCCAGATGCTGGGCACCCCATCCCCTTTCTGATGATGTCAGCAGAGCGATGGCCCATCTGCATGATAGGCACTCCGATGATGTCCTTCCTGCTCAGTGTCTGGACATGCTGAGCCAGAAGAGACGCCAAAGAGGTGCACCACACCTCTTGCAGCGCCCCTTTCATGGCTTGCAGAAGGAGTGCTATTTTAGTGCTCCTTTCGCAGGCAGCGAAAGGGAGGATCGGAGCCGAGGTGTCTGGTAGCCTCAGCCTCAATCCTCCACTTCCGGGGGTGGCCCAGGGCTGCCCGTTTGCATCTCCTCTCAGTCTCAGGAAATGGAAATGTCAAGCCCTCTCTGAATGCATTTTGCCAAGAAAAACCCATGAGAGAGTCACACTCTCTCAGCCACAGGAATGCAGTGACAACCCCCCTCTGAACACATCTTGCCAAGAAATCACTTTTTTGAGTCTCTCTTAATTTTGTTGATGCTGTTGGGTTATCTATTTATTTATTTTTCCAGTCAATTACTTTGAATTAAAAATATTGTTTTTATTTGGCTTGTTTTGCTGTAGACTGTATTTCAGAGAAAGCCTTTTGGATTCAGATTCAAATTCTTTGATTGCTTTGATGTAGGCTATAAGTTTTCTTTTTATATTAGACTGTTCTAATTACCGGTTTTGATTTTATGGTGTTACCTTAATGTTATTCAGTTAGATAATTCTGTCACTCCTTGTTTCCAATTAGGACTTATATCCTATACTGATATGGCCTTAAAAAAGGGAAGATTTAGATATGATTTAAATATTATAGGGAGTTATTTGCTACCTACTCAACCTTTCAAGGCTTCTAAATGCTCTAAATATAAATAATTCTTAACATAATAACACCTCATTTTGATGTCTTAGAATAAAAATGCACTCGTCTTGGCTTCCCACTGGCTGCTGGTGTCCCTAAATTCTGAAGTTATGCCTCACATTGATCAAGGAGGGTTGCTACAACCATGAGTGGTTTCACCGCCATCTGAACAAGTGTGTGCTTGCTTGGCTCACTGGTGGCTACTGCTATCACAATGCCTGTGAGTTCTGAGGCTATACCTCAGATTGATTAAAGAGTGTCACTACAACAGAGGGCTTTGTCTGGTGAGTCTGCTAATACACATAGAGAGCCATTCAAGCCACCCTTGAGGCACAGAAGGTGTCCCTTAAGGAAATCCAGCCCCTCCTGGGACACCTGAACTTTGCCTGCAGGGTGGTTTCACCTGGCAGGGCATTTTGTACCTGGCTGGCAAGGATCAATGCAAGAGTCAGGGGTGCATCATCATATCTGCATCACCAGGGGTATAAAAAAGGTCTAATGTTGAGGTTCGATTTTCAATGGCATTTCCCTGTGTTAGCACCCTTGGAACCTAGGTCAGGACCTCCAGGTTCACTTGGATGCTGCTGGGAGTTTGGGCTTCAAAGTCTTTTTTCCAGGGTCATTGGTGTGCCCAAAGCTGGCCTGCCCATTGGGCAGATGGTGGGATCCTCCCGGACCTCTGTTACTGGAGTTCTTCACCATTGTGGTGATAGTTCACATTTGGGGTAAGTGTTTCAAAAACTAGGATGTTTGCTTTTGATATGACAACCAGGCTGTAGTCAGGATCCTCAGTTGTCAATCTTCCAAGTCTGAGTGGGTCATGCACCTGGTCTGCCATTTAGTTTTGTTGTGTCACCACAATAACATAATTTTCTAAGCTCGTTTTGTACCAGGCCTTGAGAATAACATTGCAGACTCTGGGACAAAACAGGCCACCCTAAAGGAATGAATCTGCACCACCCCTTTACTCGTTGGATTGGGGCTGCAGCAATCACATGCCATGGCCCCAATCCAGCATTTTTATTTCCCCAAAAGAAACAACAAAATGCTGCTCCTTTTAGAAATGGATAAAAGCTGTTCTTGCCACCACAGCAGCAGCTTTTCCATGTTTCTGCAGTGCAATGCGTGTAAGCACTGTGCCACAGAAACACCATGATACTGCCACACATTAAGTCAGCCATGCACCTTCCCAGTGATGTGGGGGTGTGCTGCTGTCTGCATGCCATGACCCCAAGCCGCTGGGATGCCGGCTCTTTATGCCACTCTGGTCAGCCCCTCTCTTTCTTGTTTCCAGGAGGCCAGCTTCCGATATTTAGTGCACAGAGCAGTCCTCTCACCCACACCTTTCCCAGAGGAGCTGTGGGATCTTGGATGCATTCTGCGATGCAAGGAGTTCTGTCTTCACTGCTCCCTGCCACCCTCAGAACTTACATGAGGACTGTTGCCATTTCTTCTCCTTCTACAGGGTGATGGGCCTCTAGGCAAGTTGGCCAGTGCATATTTTCATCATCCTACAATTCCTTGCTTGGCTATGGGAGGGAGGTTTTGCCCTGCACACCATCCCAACTAAAGGACCCCCTTTTTTTCTCTCCATGAGGATGGAACTCCACTCACTCGGTTCCAACTGGTGATGGTGCTTAGACTGGCCTTGAAAAACATCTGGCTGCCAGAGGAGGAGTTTTGAAGACACTCATTCTGCATTGGGATTGCTACAACCATAGTGGGATGTGGACTTCCTGTTGACACCATAAAATAGCTGGGCAGGTGGAATTCTGAGGCATTTGCTGGCTAGGTCCAACCGGTTTGGACTCCTGCACTGGAAAGCCCTGAGGATAGCAGGAGTGGGTTCTCTGTTTGGGTGGTTGTACAGCTTTCAGTAAGGGGTTGGCAGAAGGCAGGCCCCTGTTGGGATGCCAGCCTTTTGTGACAGTAGCGTCGGTTGTGGATCTGGTGGGTGTGGCTATCTATGCTGTGGAGCACTGGCATTGGGATTCCCATGGGGACCCAGGGGTGCTGGGATTGAGAAGGAGTTGCCACTGCAGGGGCAAGTGCTTATCAGTGTCCCCTGGTGACAAGGGGCAGAGATACGAACATGTGAATATCTGGCTACCACCCTTTGTTATCCTGTGGCCTGGCTGTGATTGGGCAATGGGATACATTGATCAACAGTCAGGTTGGTCAATACTAGATCCAGACCCATGCCTTGGGCCAACCCTACCTGTCAGCTGTACTCAATAAAGTTGTGGCCTTTTCTCTTCCAAATGGTTGTCTTGGTGTGTTTCCTAATTGTGACATCCTTTTCCCCACAAAATCAATCCATTTGTTTTCAGTTTGTTTGGAGAAAAACAAACCATGGTAGCAGCTACACCCAGGATCACATGGCACTTTAAAACAAATCATGGTTTGCTTGGCTGCTCCTGAGGCAGGTGAGAGTGATGCAATAGCATTCTACTTGGAACCAAGTCAGGGTTCCTTTTGAGTTTATCATGTCATACCATTCCTCTAAGGCAGGCCAGCACAACATGTGGCCCAGGGGCCACATGCAGTCCGCCAAAGGATTTTGGGCAGCCCACAAGGATGTGGAGTGATTTTTGTTGGAATATTGATGAATTATACAATCAAAGGTGAAATGTAAAGATGTGTGTGTAGAATTTTCCTCATGGGAACAACATCTAGACAAACAAAAACAACTCGGTCCAGATAACCAGAGAAGTCATAACATGAGCAGTTTTTAGCTGGGAAACAGGAGAAACAGATAATGAAAATTCAAAACATCATTAGATCATGGGAAAGGAGTCACATGGGTGGATGATGGACAGCAAGGGGCTGGGTTAAAATACATCATACAGGCAACATCCAATCAGCGTAAGGTTAACACCCAGGAGGTGGAGTAAGGGCAGGGCCGAGAAATTTCTTTGTCTAGAATTGTTTATATTTCATGCATTCTTCTTGTGTGTGTGTGTTCCGCAATGATTTTAACCATGGGGTTAATTTCTGGACAATAATATGCTTATATTGCTTTTAAAATGTAACTTCTGGATCTGGAAACATGGATCTGTAACTTTTCTGTTCTACACATCAGCATGATGTGATCCTATGATGGACTGTATATTTTTTTTTCTTTGCTTATTTTTATTTTATGGAACAATAAAGCTCTACTTTGAATCTACATGATTGGTCTTCATGCTTTTAGCATGAGATGGCTGATGAAGGAAGCTGATTTCCTAGCTCTGCTGCATTTCAGGCACACCACACCAAAAAATCAACAAGTTCAAGGTTCCGCTGCTGCTTGGCCTCCTCCTGAAGCCTCCTCCTCATGTGGTGGAGGAGGAAGGGTGAATGCTTACCCTGCAGGGCTCCTCTGCCACCTGGCTTTCCCTGGATGAATGGCCAGGTGGAGGAGGAGGAGAAGGACAAATGCTTGCCCTCCAAGGTTCCTCCACCACCCTGCTTGATCCTGAGGAGAAGGCTAGCCAGCAGCAGAGGAGCAGGACAGGGAATACTCACTCTGCAAAGCTCTTCTGCTGCTTGGCTTTCTCCTGAGGAGAAGGACCAGTGGAGGATGAGGAGGAGCATGGGCAAATGTTCACCCTGCAAGGTTCCTCCTTTGCCTGGCTTTCTCCTGAGAAGGCTGGGCAGCAGAGGAGAAAAGGGGCAAATGCTCACCCATCAAGACTCTTCCATCACATGGCCTTCTCTCGAGGAGAAGGCTGGGCAGAGGAAGAGAAGGGCAGGCAAGGCTCCTCTGCCACTTGGCTTTCTCCTGAGGAGATGGCTGGGCAGAGGAGGAAGATGGCAGAATTAATATTAATTAATTTGAATGAAAGTTATTAATTAATATTTAATTAAAATCTATTTGCAGCCCTAAGAAATTTAGCCTATTTTAATTTTGGCCCCTACCTCCTACAAAGTTGAGTAAGTCTAAGGGTATCTGTGCTGCCATAACACACTGCCCATAGAGGGTAGCTGAATGCTTAATACTTTATTTGCTGGCTCAT